GAGAGAGAGAGAGAGAGAGAGAGAGAGAGAGAGAGAGAGAGAGAGAGAGAGAGAGAGAGAGAGAGAGAGAGAGAGAGAGATCCAAGCGAGAGAAAGAGAGTAAGTGAGACAGCGAGACGGGGCGAGAGAGACTACGTACCTGAGCGAGGGAGAGAGTTCGGCGGCCATATCCGCTTGTACTTGAGTTCGGTTACTTGCAACAATGTTGTATTTTGGAATAATATCTTTGAGTTTCGGCTGCTATCTGTCTCATTGCTTTGCTGTTCGAGTGTTGTGTGAGCTTTTGATTGCGATTGTGGAGTCTAGTTGAGTCGAATCATTGCATTTTTTGCTGGCTTCAGTGTTTGATTGAAAAGCCACAGTCCTTTTGCTGTGGCATCAAGTGGGATGAGACACTGCGGACTCTGTATGGAAACAGTCGTACCGGAATGATGATTTGTAGGCAACTGATGCTGATGATGAGTTATATGCATCCAGGCAAGGAAATTTTGCTAAATCATCCCTAAATGTGTAATGCTTTCTCTCCCTAAAGGTCGCTCACTGTATACCCGAACATTGTTGTGACCATCAGCATTTGAACTCTGTTCATCAACAGCTACACATGTGTAGTAGAGTGTGTTCCATTCAGCCACCACAAGCCGGGTAAAATAGCACTGTAACATATTGATTTCTAGCAAGACGGTCTTAATACTTTTTTATGCTTTCCATCAGAATGTTTCTCAAGTATTCAGTCTGCAAAGGCTGCTTTTGGCTGTAGAATGTTTTATCATAATATTTCTGAAATTTTTAACTTTTTACTGTTTCTTTTGTTTGTGGCAGATGGACCTGGTTACAGAAACAGATCGCCAGTGTGAAGAAGTGATTTTCAAGCACATCAAGACTTGCTTTCCTGATCATGAGGTCTGCTACTTGGACGTTCCTAATGAAACCAACCACTTCATCAACTCTCCCAATGTTCTTTGGCTCCAATTCTTGCTCAATATTCCTGCCTGTGGTGGTTGTGATCCTGTTTGTGTTGCACGCTGATGATGAAAGTGGCTACCTTCTTCACCCGAATACAAACGTACTGTCATTATGGCTGTATTTGGGGTATCTTTCAGTCTAAATACAGCAATAATGACCGTATGGTATATTCAGGTGAAGATGGTAGCATCATGCTGATCACTGCATGTGTGCAGTTCACCAAGAGCTGAGGCGACAGTGCAGCAGCACATACGCACACACACGCACCCACGCACACACACACACACACACACACACACACACACACGCACCCACGCACACGCACCCACGCACGCACGCACCCACACCCACCCACATACTCATGTACGGCACCCTGACATGTCATGTCCAATTTGCAGACAGGGGCTAGAACGGCAGTGCCTCTATAATTGTGGTCGACGTGCCTCCGTGTTCCTAGCATGTAGGAGCCACGTTGCCTGTGACATCTGTCTGCGCCGTGCCATTCGATGCAGCAACTGTGACTGCGAAAATTGGATGCGGTGCTTCCACAGTCCACACCCGAACCGGTCCTGTCCGGTCTGTAGGGATGGTCACTTACCATAGGCAATAACTGCTCCTTGACTCAAAATCTTGTGCAACCCAAACACCAATGAACCTCATGTGCTATTCCAGCGGTGAGTGTTTAGAATTCTGCGAAGCCCATCATATACCTCTCGCCTGCCCTACCCTTGCACTCTGCTTTCCCCCTACCTCACGCCCTGAAAAACTTACCTCCTGTCCCTTTCCCTCCGCCCTCTCCTTATGTGCAACTAGGAAATACATACGAGTGAGCATCAGTAAGAGTACAGACAAAGTATAAGTTGAAGATTTGAAGAGAAATGAACAGGAGTATGAAGACGAACGACAGACACAAAGACTAAGCATATGCTGAAGATCTGAAGTGAAATGAACAGCTGGAGATTTG